TATATATATATATATATATATATGTATATGTATGTATATACATACATGTATATATATATATGTATGTATATGTATATATGTATATATATATATGTATATATATATATATATGTGTATATATATATATATATATATATATGTGTATATATATATATACAAAGATTATGATGAACATGGCAAAAGCCACCCTAACCTAATCAAGATTGTTGAATCTATTCCTTTCGATCGAACTCGAATCAAATCCAATATATTTAGTTTGAAATGATCTCAGATCCCATTGATTGTGAAACAAAAATGTCATGTTCTAATTTTGACCGACTAATCTGATTGGGTTCAAATCCAGCTTATGTGGAATTTGAATCCGTGGCTTCAGTCGCTGTATTTGATTAGGTCAAACGAAGACATCCATCATAAACGCTTTAAAAGGTTATGCTTTTAAGTCTATGATAGCGAAAGCAACATATACATTATTATAAGCCACATTATGGAAGCCTCGATCGGGACAAGCAAATAGATATCTACAAGTTTCATGAAATTATAGGCTTCGAGAAGATCTCTCTCTTCAGTTTTTCTACAAGTCAGTCAACGAAACCACGTCAAACTTGTTCTTGTTGCTTCAGGTACAAGTCATGCCAAGAAGCCATTTCTTGTTCTTGGCATCAAACAAGGAAGATTTCCTCAGACCAAAAACCAGCAGCTACTCGACCTCCTCCTGCATGTATAAGATGCCTCGTATCATGTTGAAGTTGCATCTACTTCTTCTTGTCAGCATTCCATGTTGTTATTTACAGTAAGAGAACACATTTTGAACTGTCATGAACTCCACCATCCTTCCAAGCTCGTCCCAGTTGCCATCCGGGAAGAAGTCATTCGCGTAGGGAGTCGGTCCCACGTCGGAGTGCAACGCCGCCATGGGAGCCTGCGCCACCGAGTTCCGCTGGCTTGCATGCGTTTGGCAGTCCGAGGAGGCATCGAACCTGAACTCGTCGTTCCCGTCATCAGATTTTTTCTTGCTGATCGAATCCCTCCAGCTTCTCTTGGGGGCGGCAATACTCCGCTGAAAGATTCGGCATATCGTCCAAATCTCCTGCAACAGATGATGAAGGTTTAGAGCGTGTTGGAGACGGACGACGACAACACGAGTACGTCCTGAGAAGAAGGGAAGGGAAGGGAACTCACAGCTTCTTGCATGGTAGGGCAAGTGTTGTCGGTGTTGGTGCAAGGAAGGCGGAACTCGTGCATCATCCAGTCCGTCTTGGTGCCTTTCCCGGCGCTGCCTGTGTAGTAAACGAGGGACTTCTTGAGGCCGATGCAGCGACCGGCGGAGCATATGGACCTGTCGATGCCGGTGGCCTTCCAGAATCCGGATCCGGTGACCCTGTTCGGCCTGATGCTGTTCCTGTACTTCCTACCTCTCAGGCAAAAGAAGTACCATTCCTTCTCTCCGGCAGAGCTCATGACTTCTGCGAGGTTTGAGGGGGATCGATCAAACGTTGGTCAAAATGAATGCTAATAGCTAATTAAATGCCATCGAGTGATACTTCTTCTTCAGCGATGGAAAGCCCTAATCGTGACTTAATCGGTACACGTTCTTACTCATAGCACAGGAGACAAGAGAATCTAACTTACTTGGAAGATCCCAAGGATCATGCTTGTAGATATCGATCTCTTTGATGATGTCTATGCTGAAGGCCTTCTTCGCAACTTTCCTCCGCAGGTAAAAGCCGACGAGCTCTTCATCGGTGGGATGAAACCGGAATCCCGGAAGCACCACGTCCTTCCCTTCCTCCTCTTCTACTGTGATCCCTTGTTGCAGCCCGGCCTTCTCCCGCTTCTCCTCCATATTCTCTTTCTCTCCGCTGTTCCTCTAAGCTTACTTCTTCCGTTCCTTCTTCGTATGTGACAAAGACTATGAGCCTCCCTGTCTTATAAATGCAAAGCAACCGTGGTCAAGTCATTACCTCTCTCTCTCTCTCTCTCTCTCTACATTACTTCCTTCTTCTTCTAGCTAGTTGAAAGCTACACTCGATTCTCAGTGACTTTTTGCCAATGAACCGAGGCATGAATGTTGTGCAAATTTCTAATCTCGTGGCAGATGAGTGGAATAAATTGTATGGTCTGTGGATTGGCATGATAAGAAGGAAGGTTAGCTCGATCAGTCTTTGTTCTGGAACGGGGGACCATTGATAGGATGATAGATATATATATAGAACCCATGCATTTCTCCAAGTGTATTGAGAATTCTGTCCTTTCACATGATGCAAAAAACTTGTCGAAGGATAAGGACCGATAAGGTGTCATAATTACGTCACGAGGGTAATAAGACGATAACAATAATAAAATAGTAAATCTTGATTATTTGAGATCAATCTTTTATGGTGATTGAGATACGTAAAAAGTCATATGTTTAACTAAATTTAGAATATTTTAATATTTATTTATGATTTTTATTAAATTTTTTAAATCTTCTTCTATTTCTTTTCATATTACTAATATTAATTATTTTACATCTTTTATAATACATTATTGGTCTGATAATTATTTTATAAATTTTTTCTTTTAATCTCAAAGATATATGATAATCATACAAAACTCGTGACATCGCTCTGTCATTGTGACCATTTTGTTTTTACTCTATGAAGAATATCTTCATCGATTTTTCCATCTTATTGAATAATTGATCCAATATATCTAAAGTTTTTACTTAAAAGACTTCTTGTCCATCCAATCAAACTTTATTCTCCTGTTTATTTCTAGAATTATTAAGATTATATTTTATACATTATGTTTTAGTCCTACTTAATTTAAGATATTTAGTTTGTAAAGCTTACCTCTAGCTCTAGTTTATAATTAATTTAACTTATGCTATCACCTATATTCAGCAAATAACATACACTAAGAAATAAATTCATCTATTATCAATATAAAATGAAAAAAAAACTTAAATGTAGATCCTTAATATAATTTAATACTAATAGAAAATTCATTAAACACATTTACTATAGTTCTAACACTAGTAACTACATTATCATATATATCTTTAATAATATCAATATAATTAATAGATATATCTTTCTTTTCTAGAACCTATCATAATAAATCTCTAGCAACCTATTATACATTTTCTTTAAGTCAATAAAAATTATATTAAAATAAGAATAATTAACATTATAAAAAAATTAGGTGTTGAAATGTAGCTATGCATGTGTTAAACGAGGCATGGCAAAAGCAAATAGGATGATCTTAGTTTGCTTTTTGCATGCTAAGGTGACCATTCACATGGTCTATTCTTTCGATTATAATTGTGCCAACGACATTTATCTATGTCGTCACCATCATCATTATTATTTTCGATTGTTTCCACTTTAATTAGAGAACAAGAACTTCCATAGGCATTATCTATATGTGCTGCAATAACTGAGGTTTTTTCTTTTTTTGAGAAAAATTGTTATGACTGAGCAATAATGTTGTTGTCTACGTACATAGAAGAAATTTTAGAGAATACATAAGTTAGGTGATTATTATCATATATGTATATGTATATGTTCATTTGATGACACCTTAAAGCAACATGAGATGTTAGCACTAGCCAAATTCTTGTTTAATTACCCTCATTCCTTGACAAGTTAGTTGATTTAATTGTTGTGATTTATGATCACAAGATGATACTTAATTACACCATTTCTGATATGCCGGATGAATTTGATGATGATTATGTGCATCATCAAAGTAACAAATGTAAAGCTCATTGACATCGACTCCAATCTTTTGTGATCATTTGTGGTGTTCTTTAAGAGACTTATAAACACATTAAATTCTCTGGAGTTTGAACTTTCAAGCTGTTGGAAGAATTAGATAACGTGGTAACTTCTTTGCTTTTTTTCTTAAGAAGCCATTGAAAAGGAAAGAAAAACCATTTCAATCATCTTAAGCTGCCTTCTTCAACTTGGTGAGAAGAATTTTGTAGTCTTTAGGAATTTAGATTGTCACATCCAATAATACGTGTAGTCTTGTGACTCTTTCAGGTTTGTCTCTCTTCAGTTCCTTGCATCACAGTCATCTTGTCATTGTGAGATCTCTTGCTCATCCAAAGGATGCTACTATTTTTGTCTTGTTCTTAAAGAATGGTAGTGATTTTTCTAAGCCACATTGTGACTAATGAGAGACACTAGCAATTTTCTGCTGATGCTTCAGGCTGTAAAAGAATGAAAGGAACTTGTCATTTTCTACGACAATGTTGTTCACATTGAGAGAGTAGTTTTGCTTCGAGAAAGATGTCTATGCTATCATTTATATTGACAAAGTCAAATGGCTTATTGTTTTTGCACTGAAGAAAGGTCAAATTGTCTCCCAATAGTCCATAGAAAGCACTGTATGCTGCCAAAGTCTGAACTTGAATTTGAAGTGATAACAGTCTCTCTGAAAAGTCATGACGAGAATACTTGAAGGTGAATGTTGACCATCAAAAAGAAGACAACTGGAAAATTTTCTGTATTCACATGAGCAAAATTAAAGTGATCTTAAAGCATCTAATACTTTTTAAAGTAATATATATATTTTTTGGTCAGGAAAACAAGTATAGAATTAATGCTGACACAAGTGAAGAGGGGCTTAGCATCACCATCATCTTCAAGCAAATTTAGTGTTGTTAGCACTCAGCAACTTTTCTCAGAAGCAAAGGTGTATGTTTATGAGAGCAATTGACTTGAAAGGCTTCAGCAAACTTGGAAATAGAAGATGTGTGTTGTTTGAATTCATCATATTTGGTTGAAGGATCCATGCTACATAATTTGGAAATAGGATATATTGGCCTGAATTGATTGCTTCAATGTGA